GTGTGTATTCATGGAGAATCCACTTGAAGAACCATGTTTACAGGTAAGTAACCTGTCCTTTTCGAACAGCTGATCGGCGGTTTCAAAATGGCCACCGGGTAAATAAAATGGCTCCCCACTGTTTTCTGGGACGGATTCCTCTCTGCACAGGCACCAAAAATGGCTGCCCTATGGAGGATCGTCGCTGGATGGTGAGTTTCCAGCCCTTTGGAACACATTGAATGGGTTTCAGTGCGTTTCAATGGGCTTTTTATTTTCGCATTATGATGTTTTCGTTGTACAGCGGTTTCGCTGGAACGAATTAACGGCGTAATGCGAGGCACCACTGTATTCCTGAGGTCCAGAGACCTGCACCACCACCACCACCCGCTCCCCCCGCGGCAAAGCACCGCTTTCAGAGGCTTCCCCAGTACATTTCCACTGCCTATTTACCTGCTGGGGAAGCTTCTAAGAGCAGCGCCCATCAGCTGTAAGGCGGGGAGGGGGAGGGGCTGGAGCGGGGAAGATGGCAAAATGGCCACCCGCTGTTTTGTGGACGGATTCTTTGCTTACCAAGGTGGCGAAAATGGCCGCCCCTATGGAGGATCTTCGCTGAACAGTGAGTTTTTGCCCCATAGGAACACATTAAACAGGGTTTAATGCGTTCCTATGGGGTTTTTTTGTTCCATTTAGCGATGTTTCCGGATAGCGAAGTTAATCCTGGAAAGGATTAACGTCGCTATGCGGGGCATCACTGTACATTAAATTCTAAGAAAATGTAAATTTTCATAAAACAGACAATAAGAACAGAATGAATCCTTTGCTTGACTAAAAACTTTTTGTTACACAGTGAAGGACGACATGTTCCCATTTTTCCCTGCTACCATTTCACCTAATCTCCCTAACAGGACATGGGGAGAAAATGCAACAATAACTTTTTTCCACTTCAAAGGCAATTTAGGTGAGTGTATATCATGGCTCTAAACAAAAAAGGTTCCTGTCCCTGCATAGCTATAAGACATTTATGCTGCCTTTGGGCCACGGACTGAAACAGCTGCAGGACTGTTGTGAAGTACAGAACCATTTGCGCCTCCCTGCATGTTTTGGGGGAAGAATGGAATAAATATGCAAATGACATGGAACTGAAAAAGCTAATAATTCAGCAACTCTAGAATACAAGGATAATTTCTTGGCAAAACCAGCACACATATCCCAAACAAAATGAATGTTTTAATGTAGCCCCTACAATATGATCATTTGTAGTTATACCACAATTACCTCCTGAACAAATCAACATTACCAACCATACCCCTCCCTGTTCCTTCTGTGTAACACTGAACCAAAAAAGTTGCTGATCCTGGATGAGATCTCCGGAGGCTCCTCTGTTCTGCTGATTTTGTCAAAGGAATAGGCAGTACTCCCATCACCACCTGCTAATTTGCGGATTTTTCTGCAATAGGAAAAAAACACAAATATTTAACAACAAATCAGAGGTTGGTAAAAAAGTATCCAGTTTCCTCTTCGTTACAAGGCCCTTGACAAATGTTGAACAAGAGAATGAGACATATCTCAAAATGCCCAGCATGAGTAAGAGATGCATACCAAAATACCATTTTAGATTATCATGTTATAAAAATGGAAAGTCCAGGGGACCCTAACATCTAGGAAATTTGGAAAGTGTATACACACACAAGAAAGAGGCATCATGCAAGGAGAGAGAGAGAGAGAGAAAGCAGATAAAAGAGAAGGGTAATACGGTGTAATTGAAATTAACTTAGAAGATGACATATAACTATGACAAGCAGCCCTTGCCTTTCAGATCCATGTGACTGAGACAATATATCTCAGCCCAAAACTGTAATTCTATTCTAGTACTATTTCTGCTGAACCTGCTATTTCTGTTGGGCCAGACTAACAAACAACTTCTGAGCACTCTCTATTTAGAAAAAATACCTGAAAGGGGTCACCATTAGTCAGAAATGAATAGCATATTATTATTATTATTATATTGCCAGCTCGTTCTAAAATGATGATAAAGATGATTTGAAAATACAAGACACAGTCTTTGTCTGGTGTTATATAACGGATACAAGTTTTAACCAAAAACATTATTATTGTTGTTGCTGTTATAAAACACCAGGCACAGTCAATCAAAATGATAAAAACATTGCCTAGTATTATACAACAGATACAAATTCTAATCAAAAAGCTAACGATGTAGCATATATAATGTTCCTAATACTGCCAATATTTTAGCTCTGATTATGCTATTTCTGAAAACTACAACTG